ACCCGGTCCATTCCAGTTCATAATATTTGCAATTGGTGAAACTGTAATCTTTATTCCCGTTTGTGACACTGTGGAGGCCTAAAATACGGGAACCTCATGGTTCAGTTACACGGTCAAATTGAGCCATCAAATTGGGCCTCTCATTGGTCGCATGATGCGACCACTGAGGTGAGGATGCGACTCGCATCCTCACCTCAGGTCTTTTTCCACCAATCAGAGCCTCAGTTTGGTGGCTCAATTTGATCGTGTAACTGAACCTGATCAGAAATGAATCTAAGTATAAAGGGATTCAAGCTCCTTCGTGAGGCGAATCCGAGCGGTGGAAAAGTCTGCCGTGCTAAGGAAGAACGCCGTATGAGCATTCGAGAGTTGCCAAATTTCTCTCAATAAAATGTCTATTATTGAGGGAGGTTATGAAAATTTTTCCTTGAAATTTTCAGGAATTTTAGATCATAATACCAACAAAATTCTGTGAAAAATTGGAAGAAAAATATTCTTAAGTTTACCGGGGAATGCGTGTTTTATCAAAGGAAGTTTGGCAACGCCTGAGGGTTCATACGGCGTTTTTCCTTAGCACGGCAGAAGTGGAGTGGATACTACAGCCCCGCGATTTTCCGTTCTCCTGGACCCGGGTTCGGAAGGTCGTCCGCTGACGCCAACGCAGGCGCGCGCGCGAGTCGTGACGTCACACGGCTCCTGTTCCTGCTCGCTGCTCGCACCAGTTCCACTCGCTCGAGGAGCAGGTTCCTTTGCTCCCCTTATCCCTCCCACGCAACCCTCCCCCCGCTGGGGAGCGGCGGGGGGGGGGGGGGGCTTGGCGCAACCGCCCGCGCGTGCTGCACCGGGCATCGCGGAAGCTCCACTTGGCTCCGACTCGCGGATCGCGACGGCTTTGCATCTGCCGGCCAGCGTTGCCGCACTCCCCGATAATCCCTCGATTCTCCCCGGGGTGACTCTTGATATTTACTATAGACAAAGCGATAGACCAAGGCGACGGAGAGAAAATCCAGCCGTCCTTTTTGTCGGAACGGGTGGTTGCAATGCGCACAGGAGCTGAGGTCGTTTCGTAGCCGGCTGGCTCTTGCTATTTATGGACGAAGCTATAAACAAAATGAAAAACAACTTAATCGCCCAAAATTTACATAGTAAAATAACAACTTAATTTGGGGAAAAGGCTACAAAAAAAAAAAAAAAAAAAAAAAAAAAAAAAAAATCAACAGAGGATAAACAAAAATGCTATAGACGAAGGTGATGAAGGGAAAATTGAGCTATCCTGTTGGTTGTTACGGGGAAAGGGGGGGTGGGGGTTGCCGGGCGTAGGAGCTATACGTGATGGGACTGATTAACGACAACCCACGAGGGACCTTCCAGTTGGTCCTTCATTTCTCCCCTTAGTCCCCAACGCTCGTTTTAACCAATAGTATCGAGCCATTTTCCTGCTTTCTCCTGCTCTCTTCATTGGAATTTTAGATTTCTTCCAAAAATCCTCTTCTGCGGGCTGATCGTTGCATTAATTGGACATATCTATGCTAAAAGGAACTATGTGCATAGGATTTGCGTGGAACATAGTTCCTTTTAGCATAAATACGTCCAATTGATAGACGAAGCGATAAAAGAAAATACAAAATATACATATAAATAATTTTTAAAAAAATGATTTAAAAAAATAGGTAGTCAAGTACATCTTTTAAAATTGCAAATACTGCGCATAAAAATTATAATTATTGCATGCTTTGCATCCGCGATCCGGCTACCGCGAGTTGGGGGGCTGGGNGGGGGGGGGGGGGGCGAAATACGGCTACGCTGAGCGTGGACCGGGCTCCCGCGGCGGTGACTCGTTCCTTCGCGTTTGACATTGACACAGTTCCCCCCTCTGCTCCCCCTCCTTGTGTGCCCCCCGTGTCCCCCGGCCCCCTGGAGCCTGAGTCCCCGTGTGCGAAATCGAGTCGGCTCAGCTGATGCGCCGTTGCCGTCATCGCCCACCCAGATACGCAATTATTCTTCCCAGGAAGAATTACATGAGGTGTTACCGAGTGCTATGTATATAAATCGTATTCGATACATCGAACAGGTGAGATTCTATCGATATCGATTGGTTCAACATGTAAGCACAGCCTCGAAAGTCAATTCAGTAATCAGAGGAAACGGGTTTTTTCGATCACTCCAAAAAAAAAAAAAAAAAAAAAAAAAAAAAGTGATAGATTTTCGATTCCCATGAGTACTAAAAGGCAATTAAAAGTGAAATTGTTAGATATGTTCTCATTTTCAGCTTTTTCAACTTAAATCCTGAAAGTTTAGTTTGAGGTTATGTTCTTTTGCTACGAACCGAACGATACGTTACGAAAAAGAGCTGTAAGTGCATTCTAGGATGAGTTCGAGACATAAAAGAGTATGTGCTAACCATGGCTCACCACAGATGCAATTACGGCTCTTTTCCGTAAGCAGGGTGTCTCCAAGTCCGGAAATAGTACTGATTTTTATAGGCGGTCCGGAAGTACTGAAAGAGTGCAGAATTCCGCAAAATAGTCCGGAATTTTTTCATGTTTTTGTCGCATTTTGAGCGGGAAATTGAAATTCTTTAAATTCGTCGGACTTCGTCAAATGGAGGTACTGTATTTTTCTGTTGAGGAGGTACTGAATTTCTTGGGACCGTACTGAAAAAATACTGATTCTTGGCCAGACTGTTTTAGTAGACAGCCTGGTAAGACGGGAGTTTAATTCGCAAGACTCGATTCGAATAGGTCCTTTGTTAGGATATCACAACGATTCCCTTGTTGTAGTGCACGTTCTGTTGGCTCGGAGCCAAGCGCAGCACCGCTGAAGAGGCGGAATTTTCAACGTCGGGAGCGCGGATCCAATCTCCAACTGCGGATTCGTAAAACGCGGGAACGATGCAGAAATCGCTCGTCGTACGTTGATTATCGACGCAGAGACCATTAACCCCCGACCAGAGCAGTGGCACAGTCGGCGCATATGTCATTGTGTCACCCGCTCTTACTGCGCCGTTGCAGTGCTTTGTTCCTCACAACACCACTCTCCACCAAAGTACTAAAATCAATAGTAGTAAAATAGTCAGGAAGAAAGCAGACGGCTTGCTTTGATTTGAATATGCCCTCCCCCTCTTTTTTTAAGTGGTCAGGGTGTCTACAAGTCCGAAACTATTGCTGATTTTTCAAGCGCGGTCCGGAAGTACTGAAAAAGTGCGGAAATTCCGCAAGAAGGTCCGGAATTTTTTTCATTTTGTTTTGGTCATTTTTATCGCAATTAGAGCGAGAAATTCAAATTTTTGAAATTTTTCGAATTTCGTCAATTTGAGGTACTGAACAAGTACTGAATTTTTACCGTTGAGGAGGTACTGAAAATCTTGGGAATGTACCGAAAAAGTACTGTAAAAGTACTGATTTTTGGCCAGCCTGTCTTAGCAGACACCCTGGAATTGCAATCTTAGTAAGAATATTTGACAAAAAATGACTATTTGCCTGTGAGAGATCGATTGTTTAATAAATTCTGTGAGAATCTCGGAGAATGCAGTAGTGACGTCTGGAGCGACAAGTTGTCGTTAAAAAGCGATTAAGAAATTTGCGCGTTATTGGACCAGTCACTGTTTTAGTCGAAAGGGTTATGCGCAGGAGACAAAAGAGATTAACTCGCAGTGGAAAATTCGAGTATTTTCCTACCTCAGCATTACTTCAGGGCGATCATCTCGTCCCAAGAATTCTTTATGTATAATTAACTCTCCGTGTAATTTGTATCTTTTATCGGTTTTATCCAATTCGCTACGTATACTTAAGTCTGTCAGAAACTGTAAGTATCTCAAAAAACTTTCTGCGGTTTTTTGTTTTACTTTAACCCTGATCAGATTAAGTAAGGGATGTTGTTTCTAGCCCGATCACTGCTGACCCAAGTGAATGAGAGAACTTGTGAATTTATTTCTTCAATTTTCCGTTGTTTTTAATAACCCAAGGGACAGAAACCTATGTACACTTAAAATTCCTCAAAGGAGACTGAATGTTCAAAAAATTTCGCGGATCTCCTCTCTGGGTCCCTGTTCCGCTTCATAGCGCCCCCTCTTGGGACCACTCATGACCGGATGTCTAAATTAATCTCACGGCAGGAAAAACAAAATTCCTAAATTCGGCACTGACGCGTGAAATGATATTTACGGTAACTCACGACACCGGAAAAGAGTGCAAACCGATCACAATACAATCATGAGCACCAAAATACAATTCAATTGGACGTATTTATGCTAAAGGGAACTATATGCATAGGGTTTGGTCGGAACATAGTTCCTTTTTGCATAAACGTGTCCGATTTCGTTTCGTTGACCAGCGGATTGGGTGCCGGTGACTGTGCTGAAATAACGCGAGCGTGCCTTGTCAACGCTTTGAAATTCGAATTGCGTTTTCGAGCACCGTTGAATCGCGCGCGTGTACCCATGACGTCATGCCGCGCCGCGCATTCCGCCGAAATTTGACGGATTTCGTCGAAATCTGCCCGACTGCATTTCACGTTGCCTCAATTTTCTCCTAAAGACATCATATTTTAGAGACTCCGTTCTAACAATCAATGTAACGACAATGTAATCCGTTGAGGTCCAGGTTGATTCGGAGCCAGTGCTGCTGTGCTAAAGAAAAACGCCGTATGAACATTCGAGAGTTGCCATATTTCCTGCGATAAAATGTTTTTTTTTTAGAATAGTTATGAATATTTTCCCGAGAAATTTTCGAGAACTGAGGGTAAGATTGCGAACGAAATTTTCTGAAAAATTGAAAGATGAATGTTTACAAATTTTCTCAAAAATCCATGGTTTACCGAAGGAAATTTGGCAACGCCTGAAGGTTAATACGGCGTTTTTCCTTATCACGGCAGAGTGGCGATTCTTGAAGGTTTGCAACACTTTTTCCTCCATTCGAATGCGTGGATCCGCCTCTCATCTGTATTACCCTGAAAATAGTGTATGTATGTTTTACTAATGTCTGATTTTTTTTTTGTTGCAGGTGAGTGTAGCATTATAATTACTGTAGGTGATTCATCCACTTTGGCAGCCCTGTAAGTTGGAACCAACTCTCTTTTTATGACTCTTCCTTAATCTCTACTTCTCTCTTCCGTTCTCTCTTTCTTCCCTTTTCCCCTTCTTCCCCTTTCTTTCTTCCTCTCCATCTTTTTCCTCATTCCCTTTCTCTCCTCCTCCTTCTCACTCCTTTTCTCCTCTTCCTCCTTTCTCCTTGTTCCTCCTTCTCTCTTCTTCCGTTTCTTCGAATTTTTCTTCCCAAGGAATCAGAATATTCACGAACCAACGACCGATCGGTCGTTCGCGAACTGAAAAATACCTTAGACTGCGGCCTTGAATAATGCATATTCAGAGGCGGATCCAGCAATTTGGCAACACCGGATTTCCTCCATGTAAACCTACGCTAAAATCGATTCTTGTCGGAGCACCTGGCCCCTCCAAGGATCGATACATTTCCACAGGTTTAAATGGAGGAAAGACAGTGTTGCAAATTCGCTAGAACGCGATTCGCGAGTCAAGACTAAAGAGCCGAAAGCGACACTGAAGATCGGAGAGAAGACGCGATGCTTGAAGTATTCCCACAGTTTTGCAGGCGCTTCCTGCCATCGTTTGACGGGCAAAGAGGGTTATGCACACAGGCGAAAAATTGACCCAGCCCGGAATGCACGCAGGGTTGCCACAGTCAGGGAATACCGGGAATTGTCAGGGAATTTTTAAATTCAGGGAAAACCTGGAAATGTCATACGGAAACATTGTTAGGTCACCTTCATTTGCGGTCCAGAATGGATTCGGCGTTTCGAACAACACATTTTACCTGAAAACTATCTCAATGATGTCTTGTGAACCATCTGGCATATCTTTCACCTAGGAATTTCACCAAACTGTGTCAGGGAAATTTCAGAGAATTTCATCTTCTGACTTTAGTCAGGAAATACCGGGAAAACCAGGAATGTCAGGGAAAACCTGGATATGTCAGGGAAAATGTTCAAGTCATCTTTATTTCCTCTCTGGAATAGGTTTGACGTTTTAAACAACAAATTTTGCCCGAAAATTATTTCAAATCATGTCATCTTTATTTCCTCTCTGGAATAGGTTTGACGTTTCAAACAACAAATTTTGCCCGAAAATTATTTCAAATCATGTCTTTTTAAGTATCTGGCATATCCTCAATTGTTTGGGAATTTCACCAGAATGTGTCAGGAAAATCAGGGAAATGTCAGAAGATGTGCATAATGAAGAATCGTAGACACGATGGACAGAAATAAAAGGGAAACTCTGAAGTGCAATGTCACTGTTCCGAGGATCGACAATGATTTTCAAGTGCTTGACTGCACCTGCAACACTAAGAATAGATTCGAACGGGGAAGATATCGGAGAATGCATCGAGACACAGACGCCTCGCAAAGAGCTGCGAAATTGCGCAATGCTGCCGTGGTAAGGAAGAACGTCGTATGAGTCAGAAGGCGCTGCCAATTCTCATCGGAATATCACGAATTTTCTGCAAAAATTATTAGGGTTGCCACTGTCAGGGAAAACCCTGAAATGTCAGGGAATTTCAAAAAGTCAGGGAAAACCGGGAAATGTCAGGGAAAATGACGAAAATGTCGGGGAAAACTTGTTAAATCACTTTCTTTTTGCTCTCTTGAATGGGTTTGAGGTTTCAAACAACAAATTTTGCCTGAAATCTATTTTCAATTGTGCCTTCTTAACCATCCGTTAGATCTTCAGTTGTCAGGGAATTTCGCCAAAATGTGTCAGGGAAATCAGGGAATTTTATTTTCTAAATTCTGCGGCAACCCTCAATTATGAGTATTTTTGTTCAAATTTTTCGAACGATTTTATTAGCAATTTTATTTAAAATATCAGAAAATTTGAAAGTGTAATATGCAAAACTCTCCTCAAAAGTACAGGTTTTATTTGGGGAAATTTGGCAACTCTTGAATGCTCATACAGCGTTTTCCTTAGGACGGCAGAATGCAAGCAGAATGGCAGTCGAGAAGTAAGTGCAGTCCACGTGAATTTCGTGTATCACTCTCGAGTCGAACGCTTTTGGCTTTTAATGCTCCAATATTCACACACGTCGCAGTATTCATTCTAAAAGGAACTACTTTCATAGGGTTTGCGCGTAACATAGTTCCTTTCAGCAGAAACGCGTTCATTCGAATCACGAGTCACAATCACGCGTGTTCAGCGGCGAAGGCGTGCATGATCGATAAACTATATTTCCCCATACCATTTGAAACTAAGCGAAAGAATCGATTATGCAGGTGTTGGTTGTAAGCCCCTTGTCTATCGATACTTTTCCGTAGGTTTAAATGGCAGATTATTCGATGTATCGCACGCCACTGGAGCGGGAAACGTCAAGATTCCAACTTGAACTCGGAACTTTCGACGATATAGCTTTTCCTGCCGGTCAAAGATAGGTCACGAATTTTCGCGATGGAACATTGTCGCCAGAATCAGCATTATTCCCCATTCAAACCCTTATTAAATACCCCTTTTTAATGGCACAACCTGGCAACTTTTCGATGGAGTATGAGTCACTTTTTCCTCACGCTATCTCTGTTGAATTGTCGATTTTCGATATTTTCCTACCTTAAGCAATGGTGAAAAATTTATTATGAAGGTGTTGGTTGCGAACACCCTGATAATCGATCCTTCTCCGTAGGTTTAAGTAGCAGCTAGATACATCAATTCATCGCACATCGCCTCACGCAACGGGACTGTGACCGTCTAAGGAAAGGGAGCCGCGAAAAATTAATTTTTCTGGTCTGCAGGGCGATTTGTGTCCAGTTGAGTCGGAAAATCCGGTTTTTGTAAGAGGAGAAAGGAGGAAAAAAGGAAGAGGAAAATAAAGAGGAGGGAGGAAACGAAGAGGTAGCGGAGGAAAAGGTAAAAGAGGAAGAGGAATTAAGAGAAAGAAGAAGAGGAAAGAGTTAACGAAGGCAGAGATGAAGGAGACAAAGGAGAGAGGAGAAAGAGAAGAAAACCAGAAGAAGAAGAGAAGAAAGAAGAAGAAAAACAAGATGATGAAGAAAGAATAAGGAGAGCAAAGGGTAAAAAGAAGAAGAGGAAAAATATTGAGGAGAGGGAGAAATAGATGAGGAGATTCCTTTTTCCGTCATTTTCTTCCTCGTCTACTTACGTTTTTCTTTCCCCCTCATCTTCCGTTTCTTTTTCTTCGTCTTCATCTTCTTCCTTGGAATTTTGAATCTCATTAAAGTTGCAACTCTCGATTTGCGCTTTTTCATGACTGGCGCCGATTCAGCTATTAATATCCTTACTATCTCGTCTGGAATCTCGAAGCGGGGCTCGAACCTCGAACCCGGACTCGGTTCACTGCGCTACCCATTCTGCTGCGCAACCAACTTCAGTCATTGTGTAGCTGTAGAATTCTCTCCACAAAATCGGAATAGCTCGGTGATAGTTGTAGTTTGCAGCTTTTATTACCGCGCTACACAGGTGATGCTCCTTGTCTCACTTTCAACTTTTTCTTTTTTCCCTGAATTTGTGCAGTGTTCCCCTCTATCTCCTTGAATTTCCTTTTGTCTTTTCTTTGAACCCTTACGTGTTCCCCCTTAAATTTTTAACTTCTTCCCGCAGAATTTTACTCAAATTTTTTAAGTGCCCCATGAATTCAGGGTTGCCACAGTCAGGGAAAACCGGGGAATATCAGGGAATTTTAAAAAGTCAAGGAAAACCGGGAAATGTCAGGGAAAATTTGTTAAATCACCTTCATTTGCTTTCTAGAATGGATTTGAGGTTTCGATCAACAAATTCTACCTGAAAACTGATTTCAATTATGCCTTCTGAACCATCCGTCAGATCTTCAATTGTCAGGGAATTCGACAAAAATGTGTCAGGGAAATCAGGGAAATGTCAGAGAATTTCATGTTATAAATTCTATGGCAACCCTGTTTAATGCATGTCAAGCAATCGATTTTTGGTGGCACCTAAAATCGATATTTCTAACAGATTTAAATGAATGATTAAGAGTGTCGCGGACATGGAAAATGGACACTGCTCCTTTCCGGCTACGTTCCAGGGCGAAGCGATGGTGGACGCCAAGAATTTTCCCGGCGGTCGCATCGTAATCGAATTTTAATTGGCTTGTTTGTAGAGATTTCGTTGTCGAGACGCCACAGGCCACAGGTATGATGCATAATCCAATTTCACGTGTTAAAACCTCGTTACTCCCTTCTTTTATTCCTTTTTGCCCCCGTGACCCACTCGCAATTTTGCGATAGTCTTCCTATTGTCGCGGTCGACTCTTCCGCGTCCGAAAAAATCTTATCGTCGACTTATTTGTTTGTTTACTCCTTGTCTATTGAATTCCGACCCCAATTTGTTACGTATCTCCGAATCGAATGTCCAAGCCTCCTTGCCGCTGCTTTTGCGCCTATTCACAGGGTTGCCACAGTCAGGGAAAACCGGGAAATGTCAGGGAAAATTTGTTTTGATCACCTTCATTTGCTCTCTAGAATGGGTTTGAGATTTTGAACAGGAAATTTTGCCTGAAAACTATTTTCAATTATGCCTTTTTAACCATCCGTCACATCTTCAATTGTCAGGGAATTCCACCAAAATGTGTCAGGGAAATCAGGGACATGTCAGGGAATTTCATTTTCTAAAGTTCGCGGCAACACTGTTTCCAGCCGGAATGACCGACGGCTATCATAGTCGGGGCGAGATTCGAAAAAAAAGGGGGTAACCTAGACATAATTGCAAGAAAAGGTTTTTATACATCAAAAAACGCAGAAAAATCAGCAGAATCCGAATATCTAAAGGTCGCCAAAAGGCCGCAAAAATTTCACCCCAAAATGGCCGAAAAACTGAAAAAATTCCCAAAATTTGCACGTTTTTCCTCCTAAATTCCTATCTTGCGCCAAAACTATTGGTTTTAGCGCCAAATGTTACTGGACCAAATTTTTAGAGGATAAAATTTTACTACGGAAAACCTTTTTTTGAGGATCATACGGTGACATTGGACCCCAGAAAATTGCATCATAAAAAAATTGATAGTTAACATCAATCGCGG